CGGCGGTTTGCGGAGATCGATAGATAATTCAATTCTGCATGGAGCTGTTAAATCAGAAAAATTGTTTAGTTGACGGAAGTGGCTGAATTTCAAGACAACTCGGGAAAAATATTTTCCGAAAAACTTTTCTAAACCCTCAAAAATCCGAAGGTTTTGGTGTTTTTCTCCTTTTCTATGCACTGTGGAACCTTCATTTATACATATTCAGATGTAGAACGAAAATCTGCGTCGGATGCTATATAATTCAACGGATTTTAAAAGAAAAATTTTCAGGTTTTTCCGAGGTGATGTGGACGTTTTTGACAAGAGGCTCCCGAGTGTTTTTCATCATTTCCCCAAAAATTCGGCGACAGTTCATGGTAGTACTCTGGGCCTACTTCACGAAACCGTAGAGAACCCTTCAAACGGACCATGTTCGGTTGCAAAAACCTCTTTGCAAAATGGCCGATGACGTTTTGTCTATGTCTAAAGAATAAACCATTTCTGGAGAACGATTAACTCAAACAAGTTCAAATTTTTATCTTAGGTAGTACTCATAGCAAGACAGCTCTGGTAAAAATTTAAGTTCATTAGCATTTGATTTGACGGAGTTATAGCATAAGCAAAATTTTCGACTGGAAAATCGCTTTTTTTCCGTATTTTACGACTTTTTCTGCAAGCGCTCTAGCGGCAAGGAAAAGCATTTGGAAAAAAATGCCAAGAGACAAAAATGTTCAGGACACATTTCTCTGTCTGCTCTGATAATTTGAGAAAATCTTTGACGGTTCATTGAGCAACTTTGTTCGTCCCTATCGTGCACTGCCTCATAGGTTGTCGAATCTGTTGATAAGTAACTTGTTAACATTGATCAAATCCTGGTAATATAAAGTCATGAGGGAAAGGACCATCTAATAATATAGTTCAAATGATAGTCATTTTTAATACGTTGGTTTTGAGACAATACATCGTCATGTCTTCCACAAATCTTCAACTAATTTTGCTCCGAAACTTGTGCCTAATCTCGTTGCTCCTGCATCGAGTAATTCTCGAACTGATTCTATGTGAATGATTCCAGCGGAAGCTTTTATTTTCACATTTTCATCACACTTTTCTCGCAGTAATTTAATATCTTCTAAAGTTGTATCATGCGTTGAAAATCCTGTGGATGTAGTAATATAATCTGTTTGACATCGCGTCACAATATGGCATAACTGAATTTTTTCTTCGCATGTTAACAAACATGTTTCTAAAATGAAGAATAAATCATAAAAGTCATAAATTAATATATCAGTTTGGAATTACTGAAGTCTCTCCTGACTATGCTCGTCACTTATCTATGATCTTCAAAATTGTGTTTTGAAATTTTCCTTTTATATTTGTTGGATTTTGTTGTAGTTTTTTGTTGGATAAAAGTTTTATAATTCACACTACTCTACGAGAATTTCTTACATTTCTGCCACTTTGGAAAAATTTGGGACAACGTCCACACATTAACAAAATCCTGGCTACGTCACTACAAAAAACCTCGTAAAAACCGAGTTTAACGAAAACTACGGCTTTGAGAATGATTTCACCTAATACCAAAATAATTCGCGAATTACTCAAAAAATCAGAACAATTTGAAAAGTGTCTGTCCAGTATATGGGAAGATAGGTACGTCTTAACAATATTGTGAAAAATAGGTTCAAAAGTTAGGTTTTTTTTAGATTTATCGGTTTTTTGCACAAAGAAATTTTCCTAGAAGATTTCACTGCAAAATTTCGAAAAATATGTGCGAACATGCAGAGTTTTCCGGGAGTCTTCTGCTATTTTCAAAATTCTTATGGAATCTATTTTTGGATCAAGACAAATATTTTTCTATTGTCAGTGTGTCGCAGTTTGACAACTCAGCACCATTCAATATTTTGAATGGTGGTCAAACGAGAAAAATGTTGTCAGAGATTCAAATAGCAGGTTTTGTAGAGAATTCAATTCTCTATCGATTGCGCCTAAAACGAACTTTTTGTACTTACACACGCTCTAAAAAATCTCTACTAGGTTCAAATGATAGAAAATCTCTTATGCTACAAAACTCTCGATAATCAATATTCACATGCTGTTATTATTTGATAAACGAACGCAAAGGAGCGGTAAGAAATATAACTGCGATGATAAAGTATCACTTCAAACTTTTTAGCTTTTCAAGCTTTTCAGTGTGAAGAGAATGGCGTGGCAATAAAAAGTGTTTAGAAGAAGCAGAGCTATCTTCTTTTTAGTTGGATTACTAGTTCATTGAATTCGTAAAAATGCGATGTCACTATTATACACTGTCAGAATGTCACTAATCCTGAAGACCAAAACCAGTTGTGAAAAAATAATCATAATGATATTGCTCGATGATTGCTATCGTTATCTTTATAAATTATACAATTGATAAGTTATAACTCTCAATTACAATTCATTTATCGGCGGTAAAAGAAATTGTGCTGGTATTTCAACATCAGCATGTACTTGAGGGTTCAATCTTAGACGCACCAAATCGAAATTGTAATGTAGTTCTCCAATGATCCCAACACTGGAAAAAAAACATTCTCAATGTCAAAAGCAAATGACAGGTATTATGTTATACTTTTCATTCAGTTTAAATGGAATATCAAGCGGTGTTAGCTTTTTTGCTTGACTAGAATACAGAAACAGATAGTTCTATTGATAGATGAAAAATAAAAATCTTTCAACTTACACTTTCTCGTCATTCAGCGGATTTCTTGGTGGAGGTAATAAATACGATGTTTTCGGATTTATTGAGCTAAACAACAAGGACTTTATCTAATCATCTTGCTTATTGAGCTCATACGTACCTTAGCAACATTTGCATGACTTTCTTGTCACTAAAATTGAAGAATGATGTAACTAAACGTTATGATATTATTAAAATTATATTTTACTATTTTGCATTTTTTCTTTTTTGCAAGGCTACTAGTACTTGTTCCACTACATTACTCGTTTCTTGTTGCTCTACAAATGATAATGAGAGTAGCTTTAACATTATTTTTTAGTTTTTTCACCGAAAAAAAGAGATGTACTGGGTTTTTCGAGTTCAAGTACAAGTACTTAAAAATTTTTACTTCGATATTTTTATTCGTATAATAATCAAATATTTAAAAGTTCTAACCTCCATTATTCTACTTCATCAGATATTCAGTGTAACTGAACGAGCGATGACGTAGAGTGTGCTATTTTTGCTTGCCTTTTGTTAGTAACAGTATTATTTATTTTTTTTAATTTGAAAATATCGCTTGGATTACTAGATGACAAAAATGTTAATAACTTTTGAATATGTGTATACAACAAATACATAAACATCATAGTGATAGATGTTCATTGATCGACTATTAGTGTACAGAACATATACCGACTGAGAAAATTAAATTGATCGATGATATTTGATGAAGACACAAAACAAGCAATTTTTAGTTTATATATACTCAAAAATTAAAATGCACAAGTACGAGCACCAAGTACTCAGTCGTCGACTAGAAGTACTTGAGAAACGGTACTTAAGTACGAGAAGGCACTCGTACCCGCCCATCTCTACAGAAAAAAGCGTGAACTTGTACATAATCGATACCTATTAACGATAACTGTCTAGCTGGTTTTTCTCGATTATTATGGCCCCATTGTTCGCTTAATATCGCACATATTTTGGATTTTTTTTCGTTGAGTACCACTGACTTTCTACGCATTGCTACATTCACTACTTTGTTCTCTTCATCTTCATAGACTGAATTTGAAAATTTATATCAATAAAATAATGAGGAATGACACTTTAGTAGGATTACCATTTCTGAAAAAGCACACAAGAAACATTTCAGAAAGCACATACCGTTAGTTACCTTCAAAACATTTTTTAATGATTGTAGAAGTAATAATCTCAAAAGCTTCAATATTCCAACACTTACTACGACTCAATTCTTACTTATTCTTGTCGTTCTCTACTATCACATTCCTGGTCCATTTCTTTTTATATTTCGTTTCATCTTCTCCTGTTTCTTTTTTGTGAGATTTTAATTTTTTGACACTATCAATTGGACATATTGTAGAACGATTTTTCATATCTGCTAAGCGATAGAATGCCTGAGGTGTCGTTGAGAAACGGCTTGAGTCATTGGCAATATTTTTCAGGCATTTTTCAATGTGCTATGAAAAATAAAATAAGAAGAGAATCACAGTAACATCTTCGAGTGACTGACGAGAGAAAGTTTCCGGATGGCAAATCGCTTTTTCTATGAAAACCATATGACTATAGGGTAACTGATGGTAGTGATTATGAATCTGGAATGTCGTGACTGTTCGTATGCCTTTGAAGAGTCGGTTTTATAGAATCAAAATTTTTTTCTCGAAATCGGTATCTGATATTTGACGAGTTCTCAATAATAGATAAAAATCTTGCCAGGGCAGCCCCTCTCGGGACTAAAATGGTGAAACTCCTTTGCAGGTCCTTCACTTTTAATAAGTAAAGCACTGCCACGTTATATTAATATTGTAATATAGAGAAATGGTGCAGGACTTTTATCTGTTTTAAGATAAATGATAATGGTGACTAGGGATTTTTCACTTTATTTCACATTTTTTTACTAAAAGATAAATATTGTTTTGTGATATTTTTTCAACTCAAAGTAGAAAAATAAGTCATAATCAAGACTTTTTGAATATAAAACTTCAACTCCTTCTCCTTTTGAGATACTGAAGGAGTTTCGCAAAATTCTACTTCTACTACTTAGTGAATATCTGAGATATGAGAGCTCACCCTGCAGCAAAATTTTTATTTATCATTGAGAACTCGTCAAATATCAGATATCGATTTCGATAAAAAAATTTTGATTCTCTAAAACCGAGTCTTCAAAGGCATAAGAACAGTCACGACATTCCAGATTCATAATCACTACCATCAGTTATCCTATAGTCAGTCATATAGTTTTGTAAAAAAAATGATTTGTCAAATGAAAATTTTCACTCATGATTCATGCATGTATACTTCATTTTGTGAGATTTGAGCCATCTCAATATAATCACCGGCTCGAAATAACCTAAAAATTGGTAACTATTATTTGGAATAAGTTAAAAGAGAAGATTATACCGTGCCAGTTCTTTCCGAATTATATCAAATTTTTGACGATAAAAGTCAATCCAGCAAAATAATAACATAAAAATGAAAAGTGACTAAAATGAGAAGACAGGAATTTTTATCTTTTCTCTGACTAAGAAACACTGCATTCTTCCACAGATTTTTTGCCAGTCGTTAAATCTGAATGTCTAAAAACTCTTTGAAGTTTTCATACTGAGAGACGTGCTTATTTTCATTCAAACATTATCAAATAATAATCGAACCTCAAATATTGTACGATCCAAATTATCACATGAATAATGCAATCTAAAATTGAGAAAACATCGATTATTAGTGTATGTATTTTCTCATCAAAATGGTGACGTACTCTCCATTTCTCATATGATGATAATCTTTCAACCCTGTGCCTAATAATAATGTAGCCTACATAATAATTCAAATTTATATACAATCATTTGAGAAATAACATAAACGTCTTACATATTTACAGTCTAATTCTCGCAGGGCTCTCAGTGCTCGTGTATATGCCACACTGATACGTTCTTTTTCATTGTGTGTGTATCCGATATGATCTGAAGAAATCAGTATGAAATAATAAACTTGAAGTTTGAGTAACAAACTTTATACTTTCTAACAAAGTATCATCAGAAATTTCGAAAAACCATTGAAAATAATTGAGTAAACATAACAGAAAATCTTGTACTTGTGGAAATCTGATATAAAACAGAAATTACTATTGTTAAAAGAAAATGATTAGTATAATATACCGGACATATTCTTCAAATTCAATAGGGATATAATGCGTATCACTCATCACATTTAGCGTTGCTTCTGAAAAACACAAAGAAAAACGATCTACACAGTATAAAATATTTATTTTATTAATTTAAATTCGAGAGGATTTTATTTTTAGACAAAACATAACGATTGATCCAGAATAAATGTCCACCTCAGTATTTTCTGATTAATTTTTTCACCTTTTATCACTTAAACTTTAATTGCTTTTTAAAGAGATTTTCCATGTGAATTCTCTACAGAAACACTCAAAAAAGGTTTGCTATGCAATATAAAAGGGAAACAGATAGTACTGTGAAACTCCAAGATGGCCAACTTTTAAACCAAAAACACAGATTTTTGCTTTTATTGGCTGCCAAGTTACCATATGAAAACTCTAACATGGCCGTTTTGTAGACCCTGAAAAGCCCTATTTTCCAACTATCATTTGAATTTTTGTACCTCATCACCTGTTGTATCGATGAGATTTTCTTTTATATTTGTAAAAAAATCCTCGTTATCATTGTGCAATTTCGCGCCATTCAGTAAAACTCGTATATTTCTAACAAACATTCATATTCTGAGCCCGAATTTTTGTATTTTGAAGTAGAATAATTAGCACATTATTTCTGAATGTCAGACTTTTGTATGAAGTTATTTCTTCTAATGCAACAAATGAAAAAGATTGAATTTTAGTTTTATGAACCAGCTTCAAAAAACGTTCATATTTACGACACGTGATATTATTTGAAAACGTACTTTCCTATACACAGCGGAAGAGAGCACTCTTGAATGTACAAAAAGCATCGAAAACCTTTTTTGAATGTTCTTGTAGAGAATACATATGGAAAATCTTTTTAAAAATCGGTTTAAGGCTAAGTGATAAAATGTGGAAAAGTTATTAAGGAAATACTGAGAAGGTTATTTATTCTCGCACACTCGTTACATACGCACAACATCGGCCAATGTTATTTGAACATTATCTTTCGTTTTGATAATATATTGAACTGGTCGATTTTGTTTTCTCCATACTTCAGTTCCGGTACGAATATCGAGCTTTAATACTTCACTGGTATTTTTTTTCGGTACTCGATCATCAAACCCATCATAGCTATGAATGAAAATTAGTGTTTTTACACTAATGTTGGTTTAAACCACATTCTTACTTTTCGTAGATAAGTTGATGATCATGCCATTTCCATCGCCCTTCTTTTGGTAAACTTGGCAACTGAAATATATTGTGGAACGAATGAAAGCAGAATGAACTTCAAAAACACATGATACAAACTGAATGTAGATATGATTTATCGTTTGTAAGCCGGTGTATCAATCGATAATGAGGAGCATTAGTCCACATGTGTGATGTATTTATATATAATGATAATTATTACGGATCATGTATCGTCTCTGGATTTAGCCAGTTCATACACTGATCGGGTGGATAAATGTTGAAAGATCACACTTTAAATTTTGATTGTAGCTCAAAACTACTGTCGGTTTTCACTAGTGAATACATTCATTTTATTTCTAAGCATAAGAAGTTGAACAACATATCCTGTAATATGAGTTTATTTCACGATTTATTTAATTATTGTACAGCGCGAATCTCAGTATAGAATATGTGTGTGTAATTGTTTTATTTCAGTAATCATTTGAATTTAGTATTCGATTCAATGCACTTCTATACTTAATGCATGTAGTAGAATCTATAGAGTTAGAGATTTTCTCTTTCCTGATGTATGATTATTTATAATAATGAAAACAGATAAAAATATCTGTTTACATCAAATAAAAAGACAAGTTCACGTGTCGTTATTTCTTTTCGCACACAATCTCATGTTCTCCATCACCGAACATTTCTTGAAGTCTTAAAAAAGAAAAGATATCCGGACTAAGGGTGGGACAGTTCCAGTTCCTATTGTTTCTAGTAACTGGTTAAAAGAACTGGTGATCAGTTACCGTTACTACTAACTGGAACTGCTCATCAGTTACCGTTACTAGGAACTGGAACTGGTTGACCAGTTACCGTTTTCTTCATAATCAAGATGTAGAAAAGTTGATGCTCATCTATCTTGTTTTTTACACTGTAATAAACTCATCTAGCTCAGTTCCCACAGACAATAATGCTATGTTTTCCATAGAAACAATACACGTATAGGAAATGTTTATTCTACAGCCTTTAATGTGAGTGTTCCTATACTATGGGCCTTTTACTATTAAAAGAAATTACAGAGCAATAAACATCCACTTAGAGATGTAAAATTATGGTGATTTGAAGGAACAGTAACTGGTTACCAGTTCCATTTACTAGTAACGGAAACGGGAACTGTCCCACGCCTAATCCGGACGTAGCATTTTCAAGAAACAGATGATGACAAAAATCAGGGTATATTGTAAACGAAGCAACTCTTGACATCTTTGAGTGTCACCTAATATAAACATTATTTGAGTCCCCAAAAATATGTCCATAGTATCATTATTATTATGAACTTCAGTTAACTAGGCTTTTCTTGAACCGGAATGAAACTGAACACACATAGAACTTTCGTTATATCATTTTATTCGTTTAACTATCATCATAGAATCAATCGTTGTTCGATGCTATCAATCCATGTACGAGTTCAAACTGTGCAATGACTTGATATCACGCACATTCGTCGATTAAAGCTCTATCAAAATTCACTTATGTCTTGATTTATTTGCAGAGCGTTTTTGACACGTTGTAACACCAGCATGCCTTCGCTTTGTTCGAATTTCTTAATAATATGAATATATAAAAGCGAGATAAAAAGAAAAACATCATTAAAAAAAATGAAAAGACGACGTATAAACTGTTTGCTTTTCTTTATATGTTCACCTATAAATATAAAACAGACAGTTATATTAAATTGAACTAAATCGCACCGATTCAACACCAGTTTACAAAACAAAAACAAAGTTACACAATTAAAGAAGAAAATCACAAACGTAACATCTGTTCTGAACTAAAAGAGAGAAAAATGTACAGTATGTAGAAGAATATGTTCATTTAAATTTATATCTGAGCGCAAAACAAAAAAAGCATAAAAAATAAGAAAAAAAAATCAATAAATCGGACTTTCATAAAAGATTAAATATTCTGGGAGGCATTGAGCATCATGATAAACAACAAATATTTCCGGAGAATACAAACTATCAACCGTTGAATCGAATGAATGAGGTGGAACCTTTACTGATGCGTTACCAACAGTCATACGTCCAACTAACACTTTGCAAACAAATAAACATCTTATACTCGTTTCACCATCATTCATATGACTATTGTGCATCATCATTCGTGAACTCAATGTTAGACTATGATCAATATCAATTGCTTTACGATAAAAATGAACACCATGACCATAATGTGCACCTGAAAAGAAAGAAAATTGTAATACTTCAGAGATTATGAAAGGTGACTACTTACACGTAGGATCATTATGACTTCGATTAAATCCATTTTGACATATGTCATCAATTATTGTTGAATTTGCTGTTTCAATACGATATAATATTTTTTCATAATCTAATTCATGAAAACGTGATGAAAATGTTTCTTTATGAGCCAAATATTGTTGATATAGTCGATTATTTTGTATACGATAGACTTCTGATATGCAACCTGCTGGTATCATATTAGCAATTTTTAATATTTTTTGATATTCTGCATCACTTTTATCTAACAATACTTTTGCCCATGAATTTGACATAGGTGACCAATGTGCGGGCATCTGAACTTTGCATTGATCTAGAGAAAAATATGAATAACATAGAAAATAACATTAGCCAAATTTCTTTTACAGTTTCATAAACACAATATTAATGTACCCATGTGAAGAGATTCGAGATGTTAGGGAAATTTTCCTTACCAACTTCAGCTGGTACATCGGAAGATTATCGCTACACAAATAAATGATAAATACGTGGTCATATGTATTTAGTACGACAGTATTTATTATCAAACATGTGAGTTTTGTCAATGAAGATGAAATAGAAGAGTAAAGGAGTTGCCAGTTGGTGTGCATAGGCCCGTAGCCATGGGTAAGTAGAAAGAGATATAGATGCATCATGTTTTTATGTCATCCCCAAACTGGTTAAAAGCAACTAAACAGTTGTGGCAAGAAATTTTATATCTCTCAACTTCTTCGTTTTGTCTAAAACTGCTATATACTTAATTATTAGATAATTACTTAAAACAATTAACATTGTGATTAGTACAGAGCAATTTCGGACAAAGTGAGAAAGTTAAGGACTATAAACTGTCTTCTCACAAATTAAGCTATTTAGTTGCTTTTAACCAGTTTTGAGGTTCTGTCGCAAAAAATATGAGATAAAAGTTTTGTCTCATAAATGTATCAAATTCAACGACGTTTTCTTCTGAGTAGGTTCTATACAGTGACTATAAAATTGCTGTGTACTGATTCTTAGCTCAACCTTTAACTGAGCCGGAAATGAGCGCATTAATTGCATCATTTTCCCGAAGATAAAACCATCTGCTTAGAATCTCGCAAGCTTCTGCAAAAATCTCCCATAGATCGGTTACAGATTGTGACAAAATTCTTTGCACAGAATGTGTTGAAATTCTGCTGAAATCTGCATCAGATCTGTACAGATTTTGCACAAATTCTACTTGAATTCTGATATAAACCTTGTCTATATTCTCTTTTTTTTTGCATTACAAATTTTCGAAATAACAAAACCTGTGCAGATCTGTTGCAGAAATCTATAGACACGTTTTATTTGAGGAGTTGCGATAGCAACTAAGTGATCACTCTTATATTCGCTACTGTCTCTCTGCATTCAAACTCTATTCTAATGCAAGAAGAAGAATATTTTTTAAATGATCAGCCTTTCCAATTACATACTTTTCAAATCTTTTCGGCTTATTGTCAAATTTCCGGTACTATTGCCTGGTGTTGATAATTCGACCATTTTATCCAAATCGAATAAATGTTGTTTTCCATTTGTATCTTCAATTGAAACCTATTATTTAGGCCAAAATGCAATACAAATATAGAGTAAAACAATAACACAGCATTATACTACGTACCAGTCCGCCTCTTTTTTCTAAATAAAATTTTTCCAATTGTTCTTTCATATTATCATCGTAGGCAATTGACTTCTGCGTAATATTATTACGATAAGACCATACTATCGTATTTGTCCTAAGTTTAATATCACGACGAACAACATCGACTATTAATGCCATGACGTATTTATCAATTTCAATAACGTCTTCATTTAAACCATCAATAATAATATAAGCATTTTTTTGATCAATTTGAAATGTTACATTACGTTGTTTACATTCATTTTCAACTCTGAGAACCTTCAAACAAGGAAAATTATAGTGAATAATATTCAGATAGGATTGTAGAACGTACTTCTTGTGGTGTAAAATCATTGATTTCTGTATATTCAAGACGCTTTAATAAATAATTTCTCGCTTCAGTCTCTTTAATCATACGTAATGCTTTTTGAATGTTATCTTGTGATTTTGATATTAATTTTATATTTATCAAACTTTCTAACGGAGACAAATGGTACATATAGTACAAATAGAAGAAAAAGTTCAATTATCAAGAATCATACCATCTGGTTTACTATAATCTTTTCTTGGCTCAATAGTAATTATACATGTTGATTGTGCTAAAACAATGAAAGTAGACATTCATATTCTACACTTTTTCAATCTCTTAGAATCTCATATATTATTTTTTATTCTTACATGCTATTTGTAAAAGATCATTTGATTTTTCAAAATATCTACTCATTATTTGTGATTTAACTTGATACGTATGTGTACTTAAATTTAAACGCATTTTTTGTATTTTTCCTTTAACTTGTTCAATTTTGTCTTGAAAACATTTCATTATTAAATCATTTGATCTTTTACGATAAATAAATTTTAATTCAGCTTCTTTAAATAAATCAGATGATTCTAATTCACGAAATTCACGTTTAAATAACGATTGAAGACCATTTGCCTACAAGTAAAAATACAACACAAATACATTAGAAACGTCAACTGACGATTTTGAATGTAACTATCTCTTATGATCAATAAAATCGAATAGAATTTGAGAAAGTAAAATTTCGAGAAAGTGTATGCATATGGTTTTATAAAGAATCGCTAAACTGTCAATTAATCAGTCCAGTTGATGATGACGATACTAGAAGGTTTAATTTTAGTTATAATTGTGTTAAGATTTTTAAATATCCTATTTTTGCTAAAATATGCCTTTAAATAACTATACCTGTTGTGATTCAATCACTTCTGTTTCATATCTATTCGCATCTAAAAATTTAGTTATTAATAATTGTAATTGACTAACATATGATGAAATTCCATACAATTGTATTATATTCGAAATTCTTCTTATTAATACATGTTTATTTAACGAAGATTGATCATATAGGTGGATTTTAAAGAATAATTGCCATCGTTTAGTACATTGTAATTCGTTTGGAACATATATTGGTATATAAATGAACTGTTTTAATAGTAATGTTACTTTTTGTTTGATTGCCTCGCCTAAAATACTATTTTGTTGTTGATTATCTGGAATTTCTAAATAGGATATAATTAATTGTTTTGCTTTTGATCTGCAATAAATACATAATTGTTGTGCATAATGTTGTTTTAGTTGCCAATCAATCAGACGAGAACATGATGAAAATAAACGATCATAATCAGCATTTTTATCAAAAAGATACGGTATTTGGTGTGTTATTGTTGATGTTTTAACAATTGAATTGAAACCAGTTTTAGGTAAATTGTCATGTAGAACACTCATTGTTCTCAAATATGCACCAATTTTTTCTAGAAAATGCAAACATTTTTCTACAAACAACTTTTGTCCGTCAATTGTTATTGTATAAGCTGTTTTTGAAAAATGAATGCTATTTATTTGAAATACTTGACGTAATTGTGTTTTAAATGATTCAAATGATTTTTGATGGAAAAATCCACGCACGCGACAATTATCAATATATATTGTAGTTGCGTGTGATACAGGAGGTGAGATTAGTTGTTGTTCAAGTGATGTATTTGGAGGCGCTGTTGATGAAGATAGTGAAGATAACTTTGATTGTTGTTGGATATTGGTCATTGAGAGCTAAATGATGGAGAACAGTTTAAATCAACACTAAGTAAATAGCATGTCTATCAAATTCAGTATCGATTCGCACTGATGAGCGTTAATTACTAGCATGTCTTTTACGTGCAAGACAGTGCTGATGAACGAAGAAATATTTGTTTGAAAAAATGATCGGTATGTCAATTACAAGAAGCATCAATAATTTTGGTCAAGGTCTATTGTTTTTGAGAGGGACACCGCGAAGTACAAGAAGCAGAGAGGAGGTCGTCCGACTTCGAAGTAAATCGAAAAATTTGAAAAATGAGAGTAAATATTGATTTGTATAATAATACGCAAGTTTTGACATACAACCGTTTTAGTTGCAAAAAACTTCCTGTGCTCAAGTTTTTGCTATAGTTTCTGCAATAAAACTAAACATATTTTTCATTTCCCGAACTGTTTTCTATTCTAACTTGCAGACACTTAACCGTGAAAAACAACTAAGTCATTCTGAAATCTGTTGTTGTGCTTTTTCGAATACGCTTTCCCAAGTTTTAATTGTTTCCATTAAGCCGCAGTTTATGTCTAAGACATAAACTTCTTTAATTTAAGAGTAAAACGTACTGATTTATCGTCATGATCTGGGGAATTCATTGAAAACCTGAGCCTCAAACTCCGACTTTGGGAATAAACTCAGCGGACAAAGGCGTTTTGTTACGAAGAGTCAAGCCTTTATACCGCAGGATTTGGGAGCCAAATTAGTAAAAGAAAGCAAGAAGAATGGAAAGTTTTCAAAATGAAGGTCGTAGCAGAATTTTTCTTGTAAATGAAACCAAGAAAATAGGTTGGTGTTTACTCTTAAACCGAGAAAGTAATCAACGATTGCTCATTACAACATTAAATCAGATCTGAGAAGTTTTCCCTCTTCGTTTCCACATGCTGTTATGATTATTAGCACAGGCCAGATGGTGCTGATTGTTGATCTCATTTCCAATGCAAAAATTTCGAATTTGGGAGTAAAAGATTTCAAAAAGCAGGAAGAGGGATTTCTACTCCTTTCTACTGCTGTTGTTGCGGCGTTCCTGTTTTGAGTTCAATTGGAATGGCTAAATAATACATTCAATACCTGATGCGTTTGTTCTGTTTTCTTTGATTGAACAATATCTTTTTTATCAATGATTAGATCGGTTGGATGACTTGTACCATTACCATTCATCGTTTTTTTCATTTTTTGTTGTTGTTCCAAAGTTTGAATGGGACGTGTTTTTCTTTTTCGCGCACTTCCTTTCTGTCTTCGTTGTTGTTGTGATGGTAATTTAATGTCTTTTCTTTTTTTACTACCAACATTTTGCCATTCAGCTTGATTTGTATCATCATCTAAATCTTGTAAATCATCGTGATCAACAAGTGTAACAGGTTTTAAATCATCCGTCAACACAACACGCGGCATATTTGGCAAATGATTTTCATGTTCACTGATATTATTTGTTGGATCATCTTCATCATTACCATAATTTTCCACTTCGGAATGTTTGTCTGTCACTAAAAATATTTAAAAAAAAACAAATTTCATAAACGGATGACTATCATAAGAATAATTACAGGTATGTACTATATAATTATGTACATCTAAGTCTAAGTGAATGCTATGGCATATTTAATTACCAATCTAAATCTAACGTTTTGTAAGCTAACATGTTTGATACAAAGCAGACAGCGATCAAAAGTCATAGTTACATAACAACGTCACAAATAAAACGTTTTCTTGTTTTAGCGTACTGGTAGCACAATACCGAGTGAAAACGTTTAGAAAGCAAGAACTTAGCATACTCTTGATCGATGAAAAAATAGGTGCGCTGCTTGATTAACATTGGCTTGAGTATTAAATAGCAAAAAGCATATATATAAGCACAATTAACTTAATTTTAGTGTTTTACAACAAATAGCTGACGAATAATAAAAAAGAATGAATAGGACTAAAAACATTGCAAAAGTAAAATGCAATAGTTATTATGTTTAACAAAAAGTTATGCTATTATTAAAATTATATTTTACTATTTTGCATTTTTTCTTTTTTGCAAGGCTACTAGTACTTGTTCCACCACATTACTCGTTTCTTTTTGCTCTACAAGTGATCATGAAGGTAGCTTTAACATTTTTTAATTCTTTCACTGAACAAAAGAGATGTACTGGTTTTTTCGAGTTCAAGTACAAGTACTTAAAAACTTTTACTTGGATATTTTTATTCGTATAATAATCAAATATTTCAAAATTCACACCTCCATTATTCTATTTCACCAGATGTTCAGTGTAACTGAACGAGTGATGATGTAGAGTGTGCTATTTTTGCTTGCCTTTTGTGGTTAAGCGAAAAATTGAATCTAAAAAATATCTTTTCATAAAATTTGAGAAATATACCTGTTTGTTGCTGATTTTTATTCTGTTTTCTATTTCGTTTTCTTCTTTTCTTTTTTTCTTGTTTTTGTATTCGTTCTTGTTGTACAACAACAGGTGGATTTTTCGGAGTGACTGTTGTTGTTCGAAACTTTATCAGACTCTTGTTCATACGTTCGGGATTCACTGAGTTTTCCATACAATGGTGGAAACAATCAATAAAAGCATTGGCAAATTTTCGATTTTTCATTGATATACAATAATCATCACCATATAAAAATGTATATGGTGCTTCTAAATGATTTTCATCTCCACCACCATTTTGCTGCATTTCACTATTTGCTGACATTAAATTTTTATATAAACATTTTTGCCATTCAATTTCATCATTATTATCATTTGTTTCATCTAAAGATTCGTTTGAAGACATATTGTCGTCTCCACCACTTGTCGTGTTAGCTTCATCTTCTTTTTCAATATCACTATCTTTGGAATCAATGTGCGTCTGTTTTGTCGCTGATGAATCAATGTTCTCCTTCTCTTTGACGGTTGAAGTAGTTAAAGGTAAATGTTTTGTCTTTGTTTCAACTGATTTTTGAACCGTAACATTTTTAATTTGATTATTTATTGCTGATTGCATTGGTTGTAGTGTTTTTATATCTTGTTTTTTTTCTATTGAGGATTGCAGCGTTGATTTTGTTGACATTTGCTTATCATTTACAACAGTATCATTTTCTTTTTTTGGAATAATTTTTGTTGATGGTATTGTCGAAGCTTTTTTCGAAATATTATCATTTTCTTTTTTAACAACAGGTTCTGTCGGTTTTTGTTGTTTGGATAGTGATGGCTTTGTTATGAGTTCTGAATGCTGTTTAGTATCAGGTAGCATTTTTTCTGATTTTGTTGCAGATGACATTTGCACAACTGATTTCTGTTTTTGAAGTAGAGATGCTGAATTTGTATTCAATACAGTGTTCTTTTGATCAGAAATAATTTTGGCTTTTGTTTGAGTCAAGAGTTGGCTAGTTAATTTTTCATCATTACTTTTGACGGCCGTCTTGAGTTGTTGTTTAGAATTACTGATCAATGGAGGCGGTGCTACGAGTTGTGGCGGTGATGGTGTTTTGGGTACTTCTGTATTACCTAAAAAAGCAAGAACAAGAAAATAACTGTTAGTATGAAGATAAAAAATAAAAATGCCAGAGAGCCAGAGTAACTCGTCTCATATTGATCAGACGTCTCGAAAACTTGCAGATGAATAGATGGAAGAACAAAAAGTAAATCTTTTGAGCACAGTTGAACAACAAATACTACGCCATTTAATGGAAAAAAGTTCAGTTAAAAGTTCTCAGTAGTTTATATGTGCAAAGGAATAGATGAATTCTATCACCAGCTTACAAACTTCTATTTGTTCTTTTGATAAGCATTCTTGTTTTGTCTTTGTTTCGATTAGTACTGATTTTTGTTCAATTTTTTCTGGTAATTGTATATTATGAACATAAATTTGTTTGGGTTTAATTTTAATTTCTTCTAAATGTTTTTGTAAATAGTCGTTGAATTCTTTTTGGGTATAGATATCAATATAAATTATTTGTAGACGAATATGAGCTGGAAATGGATAAGATAACCATTTTTTAACATCTAGAAAAAAAACGAGCAAGAGTTTTTATATAAATTTTTCTCAGAAAACAAAGACGTACCATCATTACTGAAAAAATGAACAAATGCGCAACATTCATGAATTTTAATATGAAATATTCGGTGATCATTTAAAAATAATGTTTTCACATCATCGGCACTTTTTTCGTCATCATATTCAACCAGTAATGTTTCCGGTTTATATAACTGTCTATATTTGACAAGACGATTGTGACAACGTGGACGATTTTCGATATTTTTTACAATTTGGTTAAAATCTAAAACGAACAAAAATCATTCACAGGATTATTCACATACGAAGAAAAAAAGTATTGCTTACCAATATCATTCTCAAACTGAACAAGTGCTCCTACATAATTATCAGCTGTAATTTTGCTATCATAAAATTTGATTTCTAAACTATTTTCTAGTGGTGATACAGCATTAATATACAGTTTAAGTCTTTCTTCTTCATCTTGTGGTAAATTTGAAAAATAAATAACACGTGTATCTAGTGTACGCTTTAGCAAACGTGTATGAAAGACAAAATCATGAAAGGTCACCGGGCCGTGCGTTACAACTTCTACTGCAGCTACAAATAAAAGAAAATATTGACAAAAGAAATAAATTAAAATAGAATAGTTCACTTACTTAAGTGGTTTTTATATACTACTGAAGCAACACCCAAATGTTTATAAATCGTCTGTTCTTCAATTGGACCACCGAAACATTTAGATTGATTACTAAATAGTAGATCAATGATATGTGCATCACAATTCGGCATTAGCCAAAATATTTGAATACCAATAGGAACTGTAGTAGCAAAAATGAAAATGCAATAAAGACAAAAAGGGAAAGAAATCTCAGATATTTACCAGATGTACTAGTTGTGTTAACAGAAGACGAGTCCTGTGGTTCAGGACTTGATCTGATGAACGAGTCTGAACGTGAAATTGAAGGTGGAATAGCTGACACATGTGCTCTCGCTGCTAGTTGTGACTGTTGAGTTCGATACATTGTATTTCCATTCGATGGTAAAGTAGTTTGTTTTCTCCAACTATTTGCAAGTGGTTCAACTTCTGTGGTTGTTATCACAGATTGTTGCTCGAGAGATGGAGTTAGTAATGGACGAATATTTGATGACATTACAGTTTGATGTTTCAACATGCGTGAAGGTTGTGTTACAGCAAAAAACCTGCTCGATTGTGGTCGTGGTTTCGTCTGATACTAAAAGGAAACATATGTATGAACGAAATTTTTCAAAACCTAACTCCATTGTTTCTAATAAAGAGAGAAAAATAATAACGAACACAAAAGAAGAAAGACGATGATTGCACATAGAGCAGAAAAGGGCAAGCATAAGCATTCTGGATTTTTCTAGCTGAATTAACTGTTTTGCCCACTTTGTTTGGTTCATTAGTAGTGTCTATCTCGATGAAGAACAAAATTTCAAAAAAATCTTTTAGTCCGAAATCCTAAAGAGAAACCCTTGCTCCCTTGTTTGGCTGCAAAACACTTTTTTGTAAAGTTGCTGTGTTATACTTTAGGCGATGCAGTTCATTGTGCTGATTATGAATATCACATTTGTTTTGCTGAAAAATGTTTTTTGAACGAGAAAAACGAATTTTATCTGAAAAAATTAGCGCTCTTTGAAAAACGCATAAAGTATACGAAAGGTTCTACTTTCTACCAGAGAAATTTAAATTGTATATAAGGAACTGTCCTAGAAGGTTCACAAATTACTGTCATACAGATCAAAACTAAAAGTTCAGTGAAATGGAGAACTGTCTACTCCATAATTCTACACAGTCACAGTCAAAATTTAATCTGTTTACTATGGATCGGCACCTCATATTATTATACACAAACCATTCAAATAATAATCAGAGAATTGAAAAGTTGAGTTAATCAGATAATACTCATTTCACTTACTTTGTGTTGAGAATAAAATTGAAATGCTTTTGATAATAATTCCAAATCCAAATTAACCAAGTTTCCTAATATATGCTGATGCATATTGGCACGTAGTGAATGAGAATTTTGACAACTATAAGCATTTCGACAAACGCTAGTATAATGATCGTAACATACATGCAGATAATGGCAATGGTCGAACTGACATTTTTGTTTACTATTTTGTCTACATATTTCAAACTAGAGAGAGAGAAAAAAAATAACTAGATTATATGATAGACTCTACTGAAAATTTTTGACTTTTCCCGACATAACGTACTGCCATTCTAAATTCAACTTCGGTTTGATCATAATTAACTCTAAAAATCGCTTCGTAATTTTTAAGACTTGTAATAACATCTTTTCTACTCGAACATAATTTGGACGATATACAGTAGCTGGCAATATCCGACAGGCTATCTTGAAGTATTTTTCTTTCGGTAAACTGTTTCAGTATTCCATTGATCAAGTTGATATCCATTTACAACCTTGTTTATGCACCGGGCAGCAATCAGATAAGTCTAAAAAATTGATTGATTAAAAACTCTGAGAAAGATTGAACTGGTTCAAAATTTTATTCATTTCTGATTTTATCCTAAAAAAGCTGAATATTGCATGTTAAATAGTCATCCTTCTGTCTCTTATACTATGATTAATCGTTATATATTAGAAACTTTCAAATTATAGTCCATTCAGAAAGAAAAATTCCTTTTATAGCAAATTATATTACGTTGAGGCGAACGGTGATAGAAATGTTCTGTTTTTACTTTTTATATGTAATTAAGTATCTTCTATTCATCGGTTTATAAAAAACTTTAGTTACACCGCATACATTTAACATTCATGAAACTATGATTTTTCAAGTTTTTCTGCTGACAATAGTCGTCTTTTGTAAATCGATTTTTACGTGCAATAAACGTAATAAAATTATTATATCATAGAATATGATATTTTAATCCACGCTGATCAAATCCATTAATATGACAAAAAGAAAATGATAAACACGCAAATTCAGTAAAAGGTAAAACTAGGAAAAATAATTTCTATTCTGGGTTTTTGCCATACTCCTTGGCATCAAAAAATTATTTATAACAGGAAAGGTGTATTCGCTAGCTGTGGTTTTCTTGTCTTCATGGGTAATAGACAGCGTATTTTTTGTTTCTAATAGAGACAAGTATGTTCTCCGCATCTTATCCGCTCCATGAAATTTTGCAGAATGTTATAGCAAAAGCTTCGTGGGTATTTTTACATCTATTGTTGAAATAGCGTCGGTACTACACTGTAAATCGTGAAAGACCCTTTAGCGACTGACGAACCAGTCGAAAAAGCGTTTGGTACGACAATGGCAGAAACAAAAGCGCCTGGCACGACACTGGAAGGTGTTTCATAAAAATTCTTAAGTGCTTGACTTAAGTCATACTTAAGTCTCTGTTTTGTAAGCTTATGTGTTCATTTTATACACTTAGTTAAGTCGAGCACTTAATAATTTTTTATGAAACACCCTCCTGACACTTGAAAAAAAGCGTGTGGCAGAGGGACATAGAAAATTTTATTTAAGGAGTTACATGTTGTTTAGTCTTTTAGAGTGCTTTTACGTTGAATACAGACAAATGCGCGTTTATATGAGCTGCGTTCTGTTTTATCATCTTTGGCTGAGACGAGGCTCATGAATGCAAAGTTCTTCTTTTTGTGTGGGTTTAAAAGTCAAGAGTACTCTGCATTGACCGAATAATGTGTATAAAATTTCGAGGACCATTCCTTGGCAACAATAACAGAACCATCGCTCGAAGCATGCTTTATCTTGAAAATGAGCTTAAATATGTAGAAGATTCCATGCTGCAGGTTGTCTTTGTGCAGCTGTGTCTGGATAAAAAGCTCGAGCATCCTCGGCGTTCACAAATTCTGTATTTCTGTATGTTTCGTAAAGCTGGAAGACTTTACTCTTTGTTTTTTCTGTTACTCCTTTTTAGATCATATCAATAAGTGATATTGATAACTATTTGATTCAATCAATACTCAGGAAAATATATTTTTTTATATGTTCATTTTTTTCTAAAAAGCTTTTGTGCTTCTTTTCTTCTCATGAACCAGTTGTAAAAACTAAATATTTTCTTATTTTTTGTTTGTTAAAGACATGAATATGTATTATTTTCGTTTTGTTTTTATTTTCTCATATTAAGAAAAAAATTTGGTCTGTTTTTTACTTTATTACTACAGCTCGATGAATGATACACCAAAGCATATATACCTGCAATATTTTTTTATTGACTGCTTTACCATATGTGTGTAATTCGATTTCTTGAATGAATAATAGTGAGAACTGAATTATGTTAAATTGATATTTCTACTCTTCGGAAGAAAATTTGACGTCCTAGAAAACCTTCATCTGCTCGAAGCACGCAGCTATAGCTAGCTAATTGAAATCATCAACAACCTGCCGGACTTTTCCTCGGGAGATGATGATATAAATTGAGGTTCGGAAAAAAGCTGATACATAGTGCGAGCTCAGAGAACTAATGGCTTCGGCTTAATCCTGAAGTAGAGTGTTGTGTTAGAATTCTCCGCTGAGTTGGTGACGGAGAAGACTACTGGGAGGATTTGGTATTTTTCGTACTTTAAATAACTTTATATATCAAAATTTCTACTTTACTATTGCCACTACAACTAAAGTGTCCTTCTCCAACTTACTTTCGAGAAAAGACTAATTTGATAGTTTTATCGGCATCAAAACTACTTTGTTTTTTACTTAAAAATAAACAATCATATTCGTTGTTTATTTCACGAAATTAAATTTTTCTGGTAATATTTGGTAAATCCTTTGAAATCGCTGACAAAAACTTAATTTCTGAGAAATAAACAATGATTTTTTTGGTTGCTTATGCTGGTGAAAAAACAACAATTTCATCAGTCTTTTAAGCAACTGGTAAAATGGCTGTCGTACTGGTCGCTTTAGTGGCTGGCCCGATGGGAAACCTACCAGTTACATGAACGACTGGAATCCAGACGCTTACCAGTGGTTGTAGCGTCTTTTACGATTTACAATGTGTATTGTACTGTTAATATAGTATATTGTAAATAATATAATAAAATATGAGTGGTTCGATAATAAACGTTCTGTTCTAATTGGCCGTAATTTTTGTCCAATTAAAGAAAAATATCGAACCTCTTTCTATTTTCATGGTCATCATTGTGGGATAAACTTATATAGAAAAGTTAACACAGTTAATTATAAGTCATAACTGAAATGAAGAGATTTTATGAAAAACTCGATACGAAGATACCGAAATTATATGGGAAATTCCACGATAAATATGTAATCAAGCACGGTGATATGTACGATGGTATTATATTTTAACATTATATTATGTGATAGTTAAGACACTGTACAATTCAAGTTTTGAGTAAACAAGCATTTCAAATTGGTAAAAATTCACTAAGCGAATGTGTTTTATGGTATGTTAGTTGGTATGTCGATTGACGATTAAAAATGGAAGGATGCAGCCGCCCTTGCTGAGTACATATGTGCGGGCATTTCGGAAAGGCCTAAAGGGAGTCAGCCTTTAAAAAGGAAGATTTCCAAATCAGATCTGCTGGAGAAAAACCATTATTTTAGAAAAGTGCGAAGAAAAGCGAAATATTGTACACAATGTTGCGGTAAGAAAAAGTGTGTGTGTTTAGATGTCTAATGCCGTTATATAAATATTTATGTGATTGCTCTGTTGACTAATAACATTCTCGATAAAAACCGGCACTTCTTTTACTGTAAGGAACATGTGAGTTAGATTTTAATTTCTACTATACCGGAGATTGAAATACGGATGCCATTCTAGTAATAATATTTACTTTTGCTACCGTCTGTGCCATTTTCCCAATGTTAACACTTGGGCGTATGTATTGCCTTTCAGATGAAACCATTGCGTTAATATGTTTGTGTATTTGAAACTGCGTCTATTTTCGATCAACAGATTGAACTTCAAGTTAACCTCGAAACGAATTAATTAGTAACAAGAAACCATTATCTAGGAATGGTTGAGGAAACTTCACTTCATTTCTAGAGTTTTTTTTTGATTTTCCTCAAAAATACCCAGCACTTCTCCTTATTTAAGCAAACTTTCAGCGGTCGAAAATCACTCAAAAAAGACGCTCCTAGCGATTTTTAGATTTGTTGCAGACAATAATCCAACTCTCTTAAGTTCCAGAAACTTACAACACTA